AATTCTTACTGTTCATTCATGTGTTGGAAGATATGTTTCCAAATATGTATATAATACTATTAGGTTATCTTAATATGAATATATTGTATTATATATGCAAATTCAGGCATTGGCATGGCATGGCATGGCGCATGGATTGATATGAGAAGTGATAGGGAAAGGTAGAGAAAAATGGCAGAAGAAGCAGCAGATATGCCCCTTTACCTAACATATAAAATTAAATATGTGTCACAGTGGCAACCCAATATCTTATGACTCATTGATTGAATTTACTTGTCATTTTGTTGCATGATAAAGAGTGAATCCAGGCTCACAAGAAGAAAAACTGAGCTGAAAAAGGTTGTGGTGGGGCTATGGTAGTGATTAAAAGTACTGCACAAATCCAGCATTATTGGCACTGGCCATGGATTGAGTTGAATTGAGCCCTCTATATAAAGTGTGCCACGTGAACACAATAAGACATCCCTTTGATTTCATATGTTCCCTTCTTCTGTGCTGCCTCTTCGCTTAGTGGATAATCCCAAACAAAAGCACATCAAAATATTCATTCATTCCAAGTGATTGAAATATTATAAATTCCATCTTCTTGGTTCAAGTGGATTCTTCTTATTCGACTAATATAATTGAGTTTACTTTTAAATTTAATCTCTATTTCCACACCGATTCTCATTTTAGCATACACTTTGGTCATTTTATGAAAAAATATTTATGAATTAGTTATTGCTATTCATTAAAGGTAAAATAGTATTAAATTTGGTCTCAACGTACTTGATATTATTTTTTATATATATCATTTTCGTATATAAATTTTAAAAAAAGTAAAGAATAAAATTATAATTATAATCATGGATACGTTCGCCCTCACATGAGAATTGAAGATACATATTTATATATAATATGATTGAGCAAGTTGAAACTTTGATTTCTCCACTTCATAGGTTTATGATTGAGTGGTTTGCAAGGTACGTGGCCCATTTCTTCTTTTCTTCTCGAGACTAATAATTTCGCAGCTAACGTACAAAATAATAATTTTCTTTCGATTTTTCTCCCTTTAGGTTTGCATGTCAAACTAGAAAGAAATAAAATTGTACTCTCAAAATTCTAAGAAAAGTAGGAAGAAATAACATAGTTGAGCTTGAAACATGGAAATTTCGTTGAGGGCTCTTAATGTAACGAATCACCGACAGAAGAATAGGAATGGACAGATGTGGATCATGCTCTTTCAACTCACAGTCATGTCTCGATTGAGGAACCAATGTACCTAGTCTTTGTTAAGCTTCCTGCATTCATCAAAATGGTCCACGTACACCACTGTTTTTTTTTTATCTGCACTAATTAGCTTTCTTTTTTATAGAAATTTGTTTTTTCTTTGTTAAAGTGTATTTTAAAATGAATTCCTTTTTCTTCATTCATATATAGGAGATACGAATGTTAAATGTAAAATTGAATTAGATGTATATTAAAATTTAAAAAACAATAAGGAAATTATAACTCTCTTGTAATAAAGTTTAAATTAAAATTTATTATATCATTTTTTAAAATTATAAAATAATCTCTTAAACTTAACTCTCTTGGGTCTCTGCTGAAGAAGGTACGTGAACACATCCTGCCAAGATATGTGTAGCCAAAACGTTAAGGGCTAGTCCAACACACAATACTTGTGGTGTGTATAATTGTATATTTATTCGAAAACTTGCTAAAACCGCATTAAATTATATTTTCATATAAAGTCTATAGTTTACAGTGTTAAAATGAATTTACATTCCATTGGATTTGAAGTCAACACAAATACATGGACATTGTTAGTGGATCTCATTTCAAGGAAAGTAATTTAATTGAGAATAATAAATTATATATTATTTCTTGTACCCAACATCATCAAGGTATTATTTAAAAAGTTAAAAGTAATTTATGAGAAAGTTAGTACTAATGCACCTCTATTACAGTTTTATTATAATTTTTAATTACAAAAATGTACTTGTTAACTTCTTAACCAGTAGTTTGAGTCAAATTAGGACTTCGATAATCGAATATTTAAAGGTCAATTATTGACTGGTTTTCTAGCAGCACTTGCTTGATATGAGAATTATAGAAGGGTTTCTCAACCCGAAAAAAAAAATGTTTTGAATAATTTGCAGTACAAGTCAATTAAAATGTACAGATTACTAGTTAAAGCCTGTCTCAGAAATATCAAAGCAATGATATATCTTAGACGAGATATTAACAACAACATTGGTTAATCGACCACAATGTGAACCCATCATCTGATTCACATAATGCTTTATAGAGATCAATTTGTCTGCTCCTTGTTTCTAGATTGATAGTTACATCTGAATTTGAAAACTCTAAAGTATAGTTTTCAATCTCAACATCCTGCAGTAGTGTTGATTGATCAATGTCTGCCTGCAATCTACCACTTACATAGAAAATTTGTATTATTACTCGTCAAAATAAGATTTTGTAGTAGATCAACTTCTTAAATTCTAATTTACACCCATCAAAAAATTGCTAGTGTGATGTTGAATTCAAAAAATAATGTAAATAATAATAATATTAATGATATGATAAGCATTAAAAGAAATTGTCTAGGGATGGAATTGTTTGAGAACATCATTGAAAGCTAAGTTTTGGAGCCCATTCCATGTGATTCTATAAGACATTGAGGGGTATATATTGTAGTAATATTAGGTGGTTAGTCATAGATACTGAAAAAGTTGAAGGTCCAAAATTGTCCATAATCTTGTCCAGAATGGTCAATTATATGACGTAGATAACGACCATATATGAAAACGATAAGCAAAGATGCTATGAAGAATGTAATTATGCCGTCCAATTTGAAATCAATGGTTTTTGAGGATCTCCAAAGGTTGCCTTTGATTGGTCAAATTTTTAATCTGTTCTATTTTCTGCAATATTCTATATGTATGTGCAGTTTTTGGATCAGGTGTTATCGAAGGGAGATAAAGCTTAGTATAATTATTATTAATTATAGTTAGTATCATTTCATAGAAAATAAAACAATAATATACGTGTGGCTCTTAACTGAAGCCAATAAAAGTGATTAGTTAAAATGTGTTGAATTGAATGGTGTTTTGAATTCTAACTGGGATGTTTCTTCTGTTTGTTTCTTTATACTATTAGTTATGAGAGGAATGTTATTTTAACATCCAATTTGAATGTTATACTTGACAATCAGTATAAATTAAAAAGTAATTATGTTATAATAGTATAAAGTATTTAGTATAAATATTAGATACAAATTCAATCCTTCTTTCTCACTAGAAAATATTCGATACAAATGTATGTCATCTGGATTATTAAAATAAAATAAATAATTTTTCATATACTAATAATTAAGTATTAAGTTTGTTTTTATTAGTATATTCTTTTCATCTAATAATGATTAAACTGTTACTTAAAAAAATATTATTTCACACTAACATGCATCATGTTATTATGTTATTATGAATTCTTAATAGAAATTACAGTGTTTTTGTATTCTATTGGGCTTAAAAGAGGTAGGAGCTGACCTGGTCCTAAGTTATCAAAAGCCCATTATTTGACCAAAAACATCCTCTTTAGAGTTTCCACATCGTTAATTGATTGATTTTGCAGATATTCACCGAAACAAGCTTTTCTAAATTTCATTGCTGGAAGTTTAAAAGAGTTCTGATGGATTTTGATGAATATGAGTATTTAGAGTGGCTATATTTGGTCTAATATATTTCATGAAAAATAAGAACAACTCAATAAACAAAATAACAAACTAATAATAATATTGAAGGTTAAATATAAATGTAAATACTGAGTTTTTTTTTTTGTCAATTAAATACTGAGTATTAAACTTCACCCTTACTCCACAAAGCTTGCAGCTGTTTTTACTATTTATTTACATTGGTTGATCTATGAAAAGCTTTGTTTATTTAGCTGAATTTTGGGGGGAATTTTGCATCATCTAATAATATTGGTGGTTCTAGCATGGAGGTGAACAATTTTGAATGTTTTTTTATTTATTTGTTTTATTTGACTATGAAGGTGGAGATTTTTTTAACTACCCCACTGAAAATTTTGACATACTATGTATCTGTTTTGCCACTCCTTTATGGTTCTAGGCACAATCTGGTTCTATTACTGTTTCATTTGTTCTGAATTTCCCAAATTTGGGTGGGATGGCAATAATAATAACAATTTTGATTATGTTATTTTATGTTTATAAGTTAGTTCAACTGACTTTACTAGATAATTTTAATTTAATATACTAGCTTCATAGCTATTGACTTTCATCTAACTATCCTTGAAGTGAAAGTAACTAATGTGAATTTATTCCACTTACATTTTCATCAAATATATAATTTTGATTGGAATGGGAAATATTATCATTCCCTTTCAAATTATTCTCCCACATAATGGGTAAAAAAATAATATAGATCTGTTCCTTTTCTTTTCAACCTATCGTTATTTTTGTTTCGCTCCATTAACAACACTAATAAAATCTTAACACTATCTAAATAGGGATAACTAAAAAGTTTTTGGAGGGTAAAGAGGGTAGATAGCATAAAAGGATATTTTTCTTTGTTGGGCTCCAAAAATGGTAGTCTCAATACATTATCCATCAACTACTTTAAAAATTTGGTATAATTTTGATTTGTATATACTTTAATTTTTTTTTAGAAATGTTTAAAATAGCTGCAATATGTTATTGTACAGTGAAATAATACAGAAAATTGAGTGGTTATTGATTTTTAAGTGGGCCTTGAATAGAAATTTCAGTGTTTTTATTCTCTCTATTGGGCTTAAAAGAAGTGGGAGCTGACCTGGGCCTAAGTTTTCAAAAGCCCTTTTTTGACGGATTAAAATCCATCCACATTACACGTTAAAGACTATCAGTAGAAAATAATAACAATAATAATAATTTATCAATATTAAAATAATAATAACAGTAATTTTTATAGTGTGAGTGACGAGTAGTGAATATTACATTTTGATTTGAAAAACGACAGAACGAAGATTTCGAGTTTTAAAACTGCTTTTCTGCTTTGCTCTCTCTGAACCTCAGTTTCAAGAGTAGCAAACCCTAACGCCTCTTTTGATTATTCCCACTTGCAAGGGTTTCTCTTCGCTTCTCAAGGTGATTTATAATTTTACCATCATTCACTCTTCCTATTTGGTTTCCAAATTGCGTTATGTACTGTGCATCACTCCAGAGTTTCCACATCGTTAATTGATTAAATTTCCAGATATTCACCCAATTCTAAGTTTCATTGCTGGAGTTTAATAGAGTTATGATGGATTTTGATGAATATGAGTATTTAGAGAAAACTGTTGAAAATCCTGAATTTAATAAGGAGAAGCAAAATGGTGGGGACAGAACTGTGAAATCTGAAGAGAGGGGCCATAGTAGGAGTTCCAAGCATAAGGGTATTGAGAAGGACGATGATGTTGATTACCATTCCAAGCATCTGAAATCTGGAGATGATTCTCGTGATCATGACAGGTCGAAAGAAAGAGGCTCGTCTCGCCATGGTTCACAGTCTAGAGATGGAGACAAGGAGAAGGATCAGCATAGAAGCTCTGGGGGTAATAGGGATAGGAAGAGAGATAGGGAAAGAGACAATGAGGACAAGTATGGAAGGGAGAGAGACAGAGACCGGGACCGTGACCGTGACCAAGAAAGAGACAGAAGAGACCGGGGGAGTGAGAGTGAACGGGAAAGGGAGAAAGAGCACTCGCGGCGAAGCAGAAGTAGATCTGAAAGGCATCCAAGTCATCTGGATGACAAAGACAAAGAGACAAGTCGTGACAGAGAAAGAAGCCGGGATAAGGATTACAAAGATAGAGAAAGGGTGAGGGAATCAAGGGAACGAGATAGAGAAAGCAGGTATTGTTTCCTGTTCAAGTTTAATCCATTTTTGCTGCTGCACTAGATACAAAAGTAATAATTTTTGCTGGTGATAGTTATTCAGCTACTCTAGATTTTTGTTTCTTCACTTACTGTATCCATTGTGCATAAGGATTTTAGCTAGTAGTTTCTTTTCTGCTGTATGTCATCTAAAGAATTAACCGTCAACCTTGAGATCCCTGCAGTGTGATATATAGTATTGTGCTTTAGCAGAGCATTGGACATGGATAAGATACAGAAATGCTGTTTACTTGAAAGCCACTTCTGTAATGACTAAAATTCTTTTTGTTTTCAGCATAGAGTCCTGTATAATAGGTGGCTCTGCTTTCATGAAACTCCTCTTAGATTCTTCACCTTTATCATATTTATTGTCAAAATGTGATTCCTTAATTTCTAGTCCGTGTGCTTGTAAGTTAAAAATGAGGTCTTAATCAAAATGCAGCCTAATGAAATCCAAGGGCATGGATGTATTAGAATTTTTATGTTAGGATATTGGAGGGGGCAGTTACAAAGTTCTTGTCTGGACATGAACAGTTCATTGGAGGGGAGATTTTGTCTGATATCAGTCTGGGTGTTCTGTTATGCTACCTACACTTTCAAATATCTTGCAAAGTAGTAGATATTGAAAGCCATGTGTTCTCATCCGATACTGGTTGATTCTTTTCTTTATGATGTAATTGTTTAATTTGTCCACTTTCTTCTGTTTTCATTTTAACCAATCAAACTCCCAGATACTTCTTGAGATATAATATTACATGATCAAGTACTACTGTCTAGGATGCATGACACTACTCACAAGCCCTTTTTTAATAGCTTAAGTTTTTAGGTAGAGTCTCATTTCAATGTAGGATTTGAATCTAGCTGACCACATGATCTAGATTTTGGTCCTTATGGTCTTAAACTCACAGTCACAGCCTTAGTACAGTTGGAGTGCTAGGTTGTCGTGGCCTTGAAATTGATCCATGTTTCTAGTCTATTTGATTTTCTTGTATCGGGATGTTGGTATTGAGTGTAATATGTAAACTAAAATTGAGAATAGTGGTTCCTGAGTTGCATATGATTAGTGAAGCTGTATAACTGTCTTAAAGCTTCTGAATATTGAATATTAGGTTCTGGGAATTGACAGATATGATACAGTGACCATCAAATAGTCTTTCTGATAATTGGGCTTGGTACTGGAACCTCAGGTTATGGGTTTCAAAATCAGAAGTTTCTCCCTTCTAGAGAGTATTTGAAAAGCATGCGCTGCAAGATTTGAGGGGGTGTAGGGGATGAATGATTGTTGTAGCAGTGGTGATGCCATGCTATTTGTTATCCTTCCCTGTTGAACTTAGTTGCTGAATCACATTTATTCTGTTGCAGAAATGCTGGTGAGGGAGTAACGGGCTATGCTTAAGAGAAGCAATTCATCTTCTGATGCCTGTGGGCAAAAACAATGTTCATTTGGCTACATTTTGGTCACAATTTCTGTTACTGCATGTGATAAATTGGTGTCAGTCGTGATTAATTCAAGAAATATAAGATTTTAGAAAGCTTTCCAATTAGTAGCATTTCATTTTTCATATTAATTAGTTCATGATTTTGCAACTACCAGATGAAGTTCCTCTATGTCTGTTGTTGATGGGTAGCCCTGGGTGTTCCATTGCAGCATTAACTTTTTCATTCACATCTTTAGCACCTTGCATTGATTAATGTTATTAAAGCCTTTAATTTTGACATTTTTGGATCCTAGTGATTTACCTACTGCATGGAAAGGATGGCTCTTTTATGTACTGTGCTGTCCTGTTGCTGTTGATTCTTACCTTCAATTTAATCACCTCACTAGTGACATCTTATATAAAACTCGTTTTTATGTATAAAATCAGTTTCATTCTTTATGCTTGTGGTTTCTCTTACTCAGTATATATAAGCTTTTAACAGGTTTCAACTTAATGCAATTAGGTCCCTCAATCTCTCGTACTGCCATCAATTCGAGTTGGTGATGCTGTTTCGATATAAGATTTTATTTTATTTATAGAAGGTACAAAATCTTGTGTTAATAACAATTGGATGACATTCATTCCGTTCAATTAATTACTCTTTCCCACAATCTGTAGGTTTGATTCTTTGAGTTCAAGACACAAAGTCATGAATTCAAACTTGTTACCTGGGGATTTCATGTTAACTTAATCTAGTTCCCTGCAGGCTTATGTCACGTGGATTTGGGCTTTATACATGTAAAGACAATTTGCTGCCGTGTTGCAAATTTAAGGAACATGAAAATTGTGTGTTGGGAAAATATGGTTTATGCAATAGTTTGTTACCAGATGTTATTGTCATTTTCGAGTCTGAACTGCTGCTATAAAGAGGTTGCATGTATTCTGATAATTTGGGATTTAATTTTGTGTTGTTGTTAATGTTGCAGACGACCTAAAGAGAAAAAGGAAGAAACAACAGAACCTGAGGTTGATCCTGAAAGAGATCAAAGAACTGTGTTTGCTTATCAGGTATTCCAAATACATTTGGAATGCTAACACATGGTCTGTTTGTTAATATTCATTTACTGCCAGATCTAATCTTTGATGCACATTTACAGATTTCTCTGAAAGCAGATGAAAGAGATGCATATGAGTTCTTCTCAAGGGCTGGCAAGGTCATAATATTCCATTGACTTTCTTTACTAACATAAAAATTGCTTTCTTCTGTTACTGCTATGTGGCTTTAATTATGGTAATACATGAAAGCGAATTCTGACATTATTAATGGAAATGGATTTGTTTCCTTTTCTACTTTTGAGTCTATTGGATCCTTGTCTCCCTTAAAGAGTAATTGATTGCTAGATCAAATATAAATCTGAAAGGATTATACTGCATTTCCCTAATTTATCAGACAAAGTGCCAGAAGGAAATCCATTGTTGTTAATAACATGAATTATTTTTAATACTATTTTTAGGTGCGAGATGTTCGCTTGATTATGGACCGCAATTCAAGACGTTCTAAGGGTGTTGGGTAAGTGTCCGATAACTCTGATCTGAACTAAATTAACTTATTTCTCCTCTTAATTATGCAAGAGAAAAAAAAGTAGCATGAGAAAGGCTGTTGGGAGATGAGTTAACTGTTAAATAAATAGAGATAAGATTATATTATGAAACTTGGGATGACTTGTTTGATTCAAAATGTGTAAACCTCATCTCCGTTGGCTTTATATGATTATGTATTGCTTTCTTTATGTGTGCAGATATATTGAGTTTTATGATGTCATGTCTGTCCCCATGGCAATAGCACTTTCGGGCCAACCTCTTCTTGGTCAACCAGTGATGGTGAAGCCATCAGAAGCTGAAAAGAATTTGGTTCAGTCCACAACATCTGTTGCTAGTGGACCCACTGGAGTTATAGGCCCTTATTCAGGGGGAGCAAGAAGGCTGTATGTTGGCAATCTGCATTTCAATATCACTGAAGCTGATCTTCGCAGGGTGAGCACTTCTTGTTTCTTTTGTCCTTGGATGACTTATTGATGCATTTTGTGATTGATTCTCTAGAACTGGTTGACTGAAAGGAGTCTTCAATCTTCATGACATGATGCAATGCAAGATTAAAATGAGAGAGGGACCTGGACTGAGACGTTATCTGCTTTTATTTTTTTGTCTGCACCTCTTCTTTTCCTCGTGTTACATTTCTTTTAAGTCAACCTTTTTCTTTTCCTTTGTAGTTTAACAACCGTATTTTTTCCAGCATTGTATCTAATTGTTTGTGTTATTCTTTTATATTCTGTTAAATTCTTTAGGTCTTTGAAGCATTCGGTCAGGTTGAGCTAGTTCAGCTGCCTCTTGATGATAGTGGGCACTGTAAAGGTTTTGGCTTTGTTCAGGTGAATCTTATAGCTAATAATTGCTTTTTTTTCTAAGTTAATTGTATCAAAATTTTCTATTTTTTTCTTCCTTAGCTTATAGCATAATATTGAGCAACTGTTCGTTCTATGTGGTAGCTGCAATAATTTAAACTGAGGGAGAACTTCTATTTGAAACCATTGGAGTAAAGATGTACTTATGAATGGAGTTGCTACTGAGTTTTGATGCTTTTTTACTACATGGCTTTATGACAATGCTTTCTGCAAGTTGCAGTTGTTTCCAGCAGTGTAGGTTAATTGAAACAATTGTTTATTCTTTATTGTAGTTTGTGCGCCTTGAAGATGCAAGAAATGCCCAGAGCTTGAACGGTCAATTAGAGATTGGTGGCAGGACAATCAAGGTATCATTGATTTTTGTTCATAGATCTAATCTTTTTCTAAATTTAGGCTTTATATTTAATGAAGTTTGAGGTCCTATTAAATTTTGTAAATGTGAAATTGTTGAAATAACATAATGAGCAGTCAACTGACAGAGTGATTTAATTTGTATCTTGATCTTGTGATATATCTAACCAGATGGATAGATCATGTGTAGTAAACTAGTCATGCATTCTGATTCTTGCTGTTAAGTTGGTTTTATTATCTCTATTTTTTGTTTTATGAATTAGGTATCGGCTGTTACTGATCAATCCGGCATGCAAGAAGTTGGTGGAAATACTGGTGATTTTGATGATGATGAAGGAGGTGGCTTGGTAAGTAATCTATTTCTCAAGAGAATTGCTTACACTTACCTCCCTTATATTTACAATACCTACATGGAACTCCACTAATGCATTGCAAGTTGTAACAGCCACATTCTTAACTGAATAATCATATTTCATTAGTGTGGTTATTATGTAATCAAACTGGGTTACTCTATTCTATACTGGAATAATTCTCTTTTATTTCAGATATATATCAGCAACTGTATGAATATTGCCACGACTTATTTCCATATTTGGTTGGTTTTCTAGAAAATTTTCATATAGGAAGTGCACACATCAAGATCATGAACAGTGCAGTAATTAAGTGTCTGAGAATTATTAGTCATTTATACAATCAACTAACATCTAGGAAACTAATGCTAGCTAAAAGTTTACATTTCAGACCTGAAAAATTGGCTAATGAAGTTCTGGATATTATTAGAATGAATTATTTTTGTATGAGCATTTTTGAATCTTAGTAATTTAACAAAACTAAATTGTCAAAGGGTTTACTGTTAGTCATTACTAAGTTTAACAAAACTGATGTCTTAGCTGACCTTTCTGAAATTCAGTCCCTGAATGCATGTTCGAGAGCATTACTCATGCAGAAGTTGGATCGGAGTGGCACTGCATCAAGGTTTGCCCCCTGCCATTTTGGTTTTTCATATTTTGAGATCAATATAAACCTCACTTTTTGTGTTTTTGTTGACAGCATGGTTGGTTCCCTTGGTAATTCTGTTGTCAACAGCTCAAGTCTTAATCTACCAGCAACAGGAAACATACCAGCAGCAGCAGCTCTTCTGGGAGCAGCATCTGTGGGTTCTCCACTGGTTTCCCCCCTTTCTTCTGTTCCTGCAGTAGCTGGATTGCCAGGTGGAGGTCTCCAAATTCCCACTGCTACAATCCCTTCTATTGATACAATAGGTGTTCCAAGTGAATGCTTATTGTTAAAGAATATGTTTGATCCCAAAGATGAGGTGGCTAAATTGCACTTTTACTTGGAATTTTTGTTGTCAATTTTTTTTGTGTCTAATTACTGGTATGATGTGCTGCAGGACGAACCAGATTTTGATTTGGATATTAAGGAAGATGTTGAAGCAGAATGCTCCAAGTTTGGGAAATTAAAACACATATATGTTGACAAGTGAGTAAACTAGTAATGCTTATTTACCTCTTTGACTTCTATGAGAGTTGAGACTAAATGTTTGTGGCATTTCCATTTATTTATTATTTTGTATGATATTCAGGAAGAGTGCTGGTTTTGTCTACTTAAGATTTGAAGATACCCAATCCGCTGTAAGTGCACAGCGGGCCTTGCACGGAAGATGGTTTGCTGGGAAGATGATCACTGCAAGCTTCATGGTACATTTGATTGGCTTTATTTTCCTTTGTTTGATTTTGTGGATATCCACAAGTAATGAGATCTTTCCCTAACCAAGAATCTATCAAATATTTTATATGCTGGCAGGTGCCCCAGTCATATGAGGATAAATTCCCAGAGAGCAGATAAATTCATGGAATCAGTATTAGGTAGTTGTTGCATGAGAGGAGTAATCTCGTGGCAAAAACAATCATCTTCAGATTTAAACGTCCTATTATAGTATTACAGTTGTAGCTTGGCAGTGTTACTGATTGAGAGAAGGGTTTTGTGATTCTTGGAAACACTCGTTTTATTCGACTTCGGCTAATTGCAATCACACAAAGTTTTGATGTATATGCCTATAAGGAAACCACTGAGGAGTTAGTTAAGACAAGTTTAGCGTTTTCTTTTTGTTGTCGGTTAACAAGTTTATGAAGAGATAAGATAATGCTACTCCAATAACACTTCATAGCAATTTTTACAATTTAAGAGGGAAATAAAATGAAAAATAAAGAGTAGAGTGAAATCAAATAGGTAATGTAATAAAGTAAAGTAAGAAAAATGAGTTGTGAAAAATGTTTAAAAAAATTATTGAAAGAATAATATTACTATTCTCTCACCGTCCGAGTTGTAATATAATATATGTAAATTTGAGAGGATATTATTTTTCAAATTGATTATTGTGATTTTTTTAATATTTAAAAGATTAAAAATATTTATATTTTTTAAAAATAAATATTTAATTTTATTATTTATTAATATAAATTAATGGTTATAATTATTTCATAGAATCGTAATTAGTTTTAAAAAAATTAAGACAGGCGCCCTTCTGATGTTTCTCCCAATTTAATTGTTGCAAACTGTTTGGTTCAATTCGAGAACGAACTCACCGAGTGTTTTAATTAAATTATTTTTGTAACATTTAATATAGCATTTTTGGTTCTGCCTCAAATTTACTTACTATTTCAATGTTAAAAGTACAAATTTCACATTAAAATGTGGTGATTTTATTTTTATTAGGTTTCTTTCTAACCATGCACTTGAATGTGATCGTTTGGTCATTCATAAATAAACCGTAGAGGATTTTGATTGAAGAGAACTTCGGGAGGACGGATGTCAGCAATGACAGAAGATTTGTCTACTTTACAAGAAGAAGATACAATGCAAGTTTGCTGCGAATTGTATGTGTCCCCAATGGTTTGCCACATGGAACTTTTCAGTCTAAGTTTTTGCTTTTCTCAACTTGTGTTCTTTGACTGGGATTACTTACCTTGAAAACAATAAATATTCAATTATCTTAAAATATTTACTTAATCTAATTTGTTTATAAAAATATTACTAAATAATCAATCAAGATTATAAACATAGAACAGTCTTTCAATAAATTTTTCATTTTTCACACTAGTTCTTAAAACATAAATAGTATAACAATTTAATCTGACAAAATTATTACTGGTCCAAAGTAACGATTAAGTTTTTTTTTTTAAGGATTTAAGTGTTTTTCGTATTTTTATTAAAGACTAATTTAAAACAGTTCAGTTTAAACGCCTGTAAATTATTTTTGGAGTAAAAATGGGAATGAGAGGTTATCCAAAGGTTATATTAACACCCACCCACTCATGAAATATTCTTAGCCAAAGATATCGAACAAAGAATCATTTTGTGAGTTGCGCTGATTTTTTTAAATTTTTTATTTGGGTCTTGGGATATTTTAGATATATATGATGTAAGCCTTAGTTCATAACACACATAATGACATTTAGTGTCCAAATGTGGAGGATTTAACATTTGCTTGTGGCTCAGTGGCACAGTATCTGAATAGTGTCAGTGTCACATCTTACGTATGGTCTTTCATCATCAAAATTGAATTATGACACCCGTATCATCGTGCTCATCATCTTTATCCAACTATATAAGCTTTGTATGTAAAGATATATACTCAATTACCTCTAAATATTTAATATTCCAATAAAATATTAAATGCTAGAAGGATTGCCTTTTCGCACAGTGCCTAACATCATATAGTAATGGAAACAGAAGTTGTTGAAGATATTGTGATTGTTGGGGCTGGGATTGCTGGCCTTACAACATCCTTAGGACTACATAGGTACCTTCTCACTCTCTTTCTCTTAAATAAACTATGATTATTAATGTAATTTAATTTAGCTAGTATTTGATATTCAATTATTCATGCTTGCAGGTTGGGTATCCGAAGTTTGGTGTTAGAATCTTCAGATACTTTGAGGATCACTGGGTTTGCTTTGACATTATGGGACAATGCTTGGAAGGCATTGGATGCTGTTGGTGTTGGAGACATTCTCCGCCAGCAACATGTCCAGCTGAGTGGGTTAGTATATTGCAGCCACATATTTTTAACTTTCTTTTTTTGATATTATTATTTCAGTATTGGCTGAAAATTTATTCTAGTCTTGTTAATAAAAATTAAATTCAAATTATTTAGGATGTGTGTGGCTAACCAGCTTAACTATTAATAAAAAAATCCTAGTTTTGCCTTTTGGAGTCACATAGTGGTCCGTCTCATTTCTTTTGTATTATGTGTGTATGGTTGTGAGTGTGTGTGTTCTATTCTTAGATTTCATTATAAAAAAAATGAACAGAAATGAAAAGAAGAAGTCTAACCTAATTTGAGTGAAGAGTTAAGAGCCTGAAACTAAAGTACTCGAATTGGAATACAGGAATGTTACTACTTCTTTGGTTACAGGGAAACAAACATCAACTACACCTTTCAAAGCAAGAGGAAAAGAGTAAGTGCACTCCATGAATACAAATTAGCGTGTCCAAATGTTTCAATTTTTTGAGTTTAAAACTAACTTTTGAGATCTTAAATTTGATATGAATTCTTGCTATGATGGGTTGTTTTGTGCCATGCAGTGGAGCCTTTGAAATTCGTTGTGTTAAAAGGCAGTTAATGTTGGAAGCCCTTGTTAATGAGCTTCCAAGTGGAACCATCAGGTTCTTGTCAAAGGTGGTTGCTATTGAGGAATCTGGATACTATAAGATCCTCCATCTTGCTGATGGAACAGCCATCAAAACCAAGGTATGTGTAACATGGCATGTGAAATAAGCAAAGATTTTTCATATATAATAAGCAAAGAACTTCTATTATGAATCCAAGTTAGTACACTTCAATTGATACATTGATATTTACAATTGGAAAAGGTATTGATTGGGTGTGATGGAGTGAACTCAGGGGTGGCAAAGTGGCTAGGCTTCAAGGAGGCCTCTTTTACAGGGAGATATGCAGTCAGGGGTTTTGCTGAGTCCAAGAGCAATCATTGGCTTGATCCCAAGTTCATGCAGTTCTTTGGTAAAGGCTTTCGAGCTGGTGCTATTCCTTGTGATGAGAAGACCGTTTACTGGTTTTTCACTTGGACACCAACTAGCCAAGGTGAATTTACTGGTTTTTTGTCCATAATGTTGATATAGTCTGTTGAGATATTGTTATGTGTTAATATTCAGTTTAACCTACAAATAAAAATTTATAAATCAGTAGAAACTAAAATAAAAAAAAACTCGTTTGAAATTATTAAAACAAAAAAATCATTAAAATGTGAGCACCAGAATCATATTTAAACTTTTTTTTATTAAAAAAATGTTATTAATGAACTTTCATTAAAATTTCTAATACGGTCCTAACATAATTTTTAATAAAAAAAATTCTATTTTTGATTCTTTAACTATTACTTTTAGGACATTGATTAGGAAGACTCAAATTGTAATTGCAAAAATTAGCATTCATTCACTATACTCATTAGCTTGTGACATTTAACAGTGTGATTTCCATTTGTTACATTTATTTGTCCACTTGGTTTGTCTTGTAGACCAAGAGCTAGAAGAGAACCCTGCTAAACTGAAACAATATGTGTTAAACAAGCTTGAGAAGATGCCAAGTGATGTTAGATTCTTCATAGAAAAAACTGAACTAGATGGTTTCCTAGCAGTTCCATTGAGATATAGACATCCTCTGGAGCTGATGTTGGGGAATATTAGCAAGGGCAATGTTTGTGTTGTTGGAGATGCTTTCCACCCTATGACTCCTGACCTTGGCCAAGGAGGGTGTTGTGCCTTAGAAGATGGGGTGGTTTTAGCTAGGTGCCTAGCTGAGGCCTTCTCCAAGGAACCATGGAGACATGTCAAAGAGAAGGATGAAGAAGAGTACCAATACAAAAGGATTGAGGGATGTTTGAAGAAATATGCAAACCATAGAAGATGGAGAAGCATTGATCTCACTGCTACATCTCACATGGTGGGTTCTATTCAGCAGGGTGAGTCTAAATTTGTTACCTTTTTGAGGGACACCATTTTGGCTGCATTTCTAGGTAGCCTGTTGTTGAAGAAGTCAAAGTATGATTGTGGAGAACTCAATAGCTCTTAATGTGTATTCAATTTTGCTTATTTTAAACAATAATTTCTCCAAATTATGTGTTTCCTAACATGCATAGTCACAATTAGCTTGTGAAATGCTCAGTCCGGCCTTGTAATGATTTTGATGCCATTTTTTTTTCTTTTTCTTCTCTCTGTTTTTTTTATGTTGCTCAGTAAAGTTGGCATATATAAGAATGTAGTCTTGGTTCAATTACAATTAATCAATGGTGCTAATTAGCAAATTGTGAAAGAATAAAATAAGAACAATGACCAATCTTGGATAAACCAGCACATCAACCACGATATTTGACTCATTATGGAGTTATAAAATATTTGAAAACCATTGATGCTTAAGGATTCGAAAACCTGTTACTGCATTCGATTAATTTGATGTACATCTCTTATCTGTACTCTATATACACAATAGAGAAAGAATAATGGTTGATTCTTAAAGTTACATTATTTATGTTTTTATCATTTTGATGTGTGTCTAAAGACAAGTTAAAAACTATTAAATATACTTTTATTGAATGTGTTTAAATTATTATAAAAAGTATGTATTAGATATATTTTTTTAAGAAAATAAAAAAACATTTTAACTTCTTAGCAAATACTGTTGAACACACATTTAAAAAATGTCTATTTTTAAGTCACATTTAATATAGTTAAAAATGGACAAAGAAAGTAAAAATAATTTCTAATTATGAATGTATTATATCTACCTCTATATATAATTTGAGTCTTAATTTTTAAATGAAATTTTTTAAGAGTCTTCTTGAATAAAAGTATTTAGAGATTAATTATCATCTTAATTTTAATTTATATTTTAGACTTCATTTTTTAATTTTAAAACTTTTTATCTTTATTATTAATAAATAAAATATTTAACACTTATTCTTTTACAAAACCCTAATAACAGAATACATAATACACATATAATTATTAACTAAATAACTTATTAGTTTTGGTTTAAAATGATCTTTAATCTTAAAGACAAAAGCATAATCAAAATCTTTTCTTTATCTCATATCTGTTTCTCACTTTTGCAGACAACAACTGTCAATATCAGTGTTTGAGACATTTTTTCTCAATTATTGATGCCTATTCCACCAAACGCTTATTATGGCAACATTAAAACCAAACAAAGATTTCAATTCAGCAAGCCAACATTTTTTTTTTAATTTTGTTTATTTAGTTTAAATTCAATCAATTGATTAACACATCTAAAATCATTGACCACGTGAGTTATTTGATACCTAATTCCTTTAACTTAACTTGTAGTGTTATTTACAATAGTTATATTTGCCAAAATTGATTTTACACTTAATGCATATTTTATTATAAAATAATTTTTATACATAATTTATAAGTACTGTTTTTTTTTAAATAAGAGATTTTTTATAACTATTTTTAAATGAGATTATTTTCAGAATTAATTTTTTTATTATGTCATTTTTTTACATTATGTATTTTTTATTTAATATTGATTTAGATTTTTATAATATTCTAATTTTAAATAAAAATTTTAAGAATAAAGGATAATATAATATATAATTTATAAATTAGAGTTCCAACATGTGATTTAAAAGATGCAAGATCATATCTTGCTTTACTTGATAAACTCTATAAAAATTATTTTTAATTTTATTTAATATAATATAATATTTATTATTAACAATTAGAATATTTATATTTTAATTTATAATATGTAAAAATGATAATTTACTGTCTTTTTAATTATTTATTTTAAATAAATTAACTAAATTAAATGATAACTGTGCACCAACATACAAACAATTACTAATATTGTTATGAAAATTGATTTAAGCATATATTGATTACATTTTAAATATAGTTTTACTTAAATCATGTTTACTAAATTTTAAAATTATTTTTTATAAAATTTAATAATAAATGCATTTTAATTTTTTGTATTAAAAGAGTTAAATATCGACACAATTTTGTACCCAAAAAAATATATCCACACAATTGAAATGTTCCATAATTTGGGGTGATGGGCGGCTAGATATTGTTGTACCCTTTATTAATTGAATTTAAATTTTTATTTTATAAAATATTTCGATTTAATGTTTTAATAAATCATTAAAATAAAATTTTATTATTAATTAGAGAAAATACATATAATATTATACTTAAATTTTTTCCTTAATTATTTATATATGGTTAGTTTTTCTTAATTTAAAATCATTAAAAGTAAAAAATATAACTAAAAGACCAAAAATTTATTCCCACTAAATTATTCACTCATTTATTTTGAATGGACGATGGCGAAGACAGATGCTGTCGGACGAAAGCGATACGTAAGTTTAGGGGTGTACATGTGTCGTTTTAGTTCAAATTTGGAGAAAAAAATAACTTAAACCAATAAAAAAGAATTGATTTGGTTTAATTTAAATTTATGTAAAAAATTTAAAAATTTGAACTAATTTAAACTAAATATGAACTGATTAATTTAGTTTGAATCATTAGACTGATATATAATTTTAACATAATTATATAATGTCACGACTCCTTTTATAAGGAACCGAGAATATTGTTTCTACATCACAAACTTATTTAAAATAAATAAAGTATAGAGAATATAAATATGAAATTCTCTTCTCATTTAAAATAAAACAGAGTTTCTTACAACAAATATCTAATAAAACAACACAATATTATATTTAGTTCATAATATTCAAAATACCCAAAATTATACTACGTAACTCCCTCTACATGAGGTCTCAAAAGATAAGGAAAAAGGATTTTGATGCAATATTACTCGACCCAGCTTCAATCATTTCTTCACTGGCCCCTCAGTCTGTAAGGTAGATGCAACACCTGCTACATCTGCTCACGTACCACCGTACGATCATCGCAGTACACACGCACACAACGACAAAGAAAGAAATGTAAGGGTGAGCTTACCAAACTTAAAATAAAATCATATATATAGAGTAAAATATTTCTCACAGCAATAATCCCATGCATTTCCAGCCCATCTAATGCTCAGCATGAAAACGATTTCCAACTGGTTTCACAGCCTAAGTAATCCAGAAGGAACCGAGCCGGTCCGGGAGCGACCCATTCCGGTATCTAGATCCAGACAGTACAGCAGCATGAACTTACTGTTACACGTCTACCCACCTAAACATGTAACTCGGCTCTATAATGATGCAAAATATATATCTCAGCATGATGCACACCGCCAAAGTTATTTTAACAGCTCAACTAAAGCAAGTTTATAATAGATCAGCCAAAATCTTAGCATTTTAAATCAATTAACAACAGTTACAGCTTAGAAAATAGCTTTTATTCAAAAGATCTAACAAAATCATATCAAAACATCTTGAAATAGCATATTAAACCGTTCAAAATGTAGTTCATAGGTTAAAGTAAACTCCCCTTACCTCAGAAAAATGATTCACACTAGATCTACCGAATATTACTTGTTTTAATGCAAGATTTACCGAAGATTCGGCTTTAGAACGAAGTTTCTCTTAAGAACACCATGAACTTCTATGAGAAAGAAAAGGAGAAGAGAAACGAACGGTAAATTTAACTTCAAACTTAAAGAAACTTACTTCAAATCCTTCAGAATAGACGTAGAATCTCATATATGACAAGAAATCTAAGTTTAGGAAGGTTTAGTATGAGAGAAATGGTGGTATTTGGCCTTAGAACCTTTGAGAACCTTAGATAGGGGTGAAGAAATGAAAATTTCGTGTGAAGCCCCCTTTTTATAGAAATTTTTTGAAATTTACTGTTTACCGCCGGAAACACTGTTCACTGCCCTACTGTTTACGCCGGAAACACTGTTCAGGGCACTATTCACGCCGGAAAATACTGTGCACGTGTATGTGACGTCAGCCATGACGTCACTGATGACATCAGCAGTCACTATACATACGCGGTTTGCACTGTTCATACACAGTTTTATTGTTCAACTGACACTGTTCATACGATACTGTTTACTTTCTTTTTTTTTAATAAATAATTTCAAACTCCATCTAAATCTATTCCAATACCAAATAATCCTTCAATTAACATTGAACAAGTATAAAATATTATAGATTACTCAATAATAAATCTCTAGCCTGACATATAACATTCTAACATAAATTTTAAAAAAGTTTCAATTCAAAACATATCTTATTATTACATGTGAAGATGTTTTTTTTTTTTAAAATAATAGTTAACGTAAGTCAATAAGTTAATCAGGTATGTCATTGAGTTTACAGGTTAACTTGTGCCAACCTGTTATCTGAACCAAATCACGTCAGATTTAATTGGTTTGAATTGAATCAAACCTGTTAAGTATCAATTTGAATCATTTTCTGATTTAAATTAGTTTAAATCATTGAGTTTATTGATTTATCTGATCCAATAGACATTTATATGTGAGTTATTTATTCGTTTATCTTTTATTTGAATGGATAATTTTGAAAAAAAAAAAGTAACTTTATTTAAATTAGTAATTTTATTTGTTTAAATATTTTATCTTTATTAGTTAGAAAATATAAGAAGTGATATATTTTACAATTTTTTTTCGCTTGTAATTTTGGACGGTGAAGAATAGTTCTTTTTTTTTTTGTTTTTTAATACTAAATAATTTTTAAAATAATATAAAAATAAAATTATAAAAATATTATATTAAAATTATAATTTTTTAAATGAATTATTATTATTAATTTATTTTTTATTGGTTTAAATATAAGTAGAGAAATTTGTTTACTTGTTTCTTTTAAATAAAATAATATAAGAAAATGTAATTCTATTAAATATTTACAAATATTTTTAACGTTGATAATAACTCTACTCAATTCTAACAAATTTATATCACGTAAATAATACATGTGATTAAAAAAATAAACTCACATGATATGATAAAAAATCATCACTTAAGATAATTTTTGAAAATACTTTTTTTTAGTAAAGGTTCACAATTATTATATAGAACCAGATTAAATAGATTTAATTATTTTTTTGTCCTCTTAATATAATTTTCAAGAAAATTTAATATTATTATTATTTCTCAAGTTTACCCTATAATTTCAAAATGAAATAAATAAATGTGGTCTACTATATTTTTTTTACTAATTTCTAAAAGAATTTGTTAAATTAGCTCACAATCTTCCATTGCTTGCAAGATAGGAGCTAACTTGGATTATAAAAAATTTATATTAAATATATTAAAATAAATATTTTTTTTAAAGTTTTATTTAAATGTTTTAAAAAAATAAAATAAATTAAAAAAAAGAAAAAGAAAAAAAAAGAATAAATATTTCTTTTATTTGAACGTAAGAGAAGAATTTAATTATATAAACGATGTTATTGTATTATATATATATATATATATATTTAAAAAATATAATAAATTAATATTTTTTATTTTAAAAATTAATATTTTTATTTTTTAATTTAAAAAAATACTTTAAAACTATTTTTTAAAGAGAATTAAAATTTTAATAGTAAAACAATAAAAAAGAGTAAAATAAAAAAAAACTCAAAAATCAATTTAAAAAAAAATTTAAAAACTGTCTGTCCATTCATTATTTAATTAATTAACTTTTAAATAAAATATTTTGTTAATTCTAATAAAATTTTATTAAAAAAAATATTTATTGTATTTTTATAATTTTAATATAATAATTATAAATTTTTTTATTTATAAATACTAAAGAACTGAGATTAACAAAATCTTTAAATAAGAGATAATCATCACTAATTTCTGTCCACCCCTCCTAAAAATGAGATTTAAAGGCTTAGAAAACAAAAATGGAAAACCCCATATCCTTGGTGGAAGCTTTCCTCATCGTTCATGGCACTGCACTTTGGTTTTTGTTATTTTATTGTGTGATTGTTGAGCTTTTCATTTTTCTCCCTTTGATTATATATGTAAGAGATGCAAAGCAATCCATTATAAGATACCGAACATCCAAAATAATATTAAAAATACAAAAAGTGAGAAAAGGGGCAATAGCAATATGAAAAGCAGATTAAGCAAAAGTACACTCTGCATCTTCATCATCTCAATCTTAAACGACACAAAATAAAGACATGTTTAATTAATTCTAGTTTTTCACAAACCTCATGCTCAACAACCTTTCTTTTTTGGCGTTTTTTGCCTAAGTTTAGGTTATTCCTTTTGCAATACACGTAATTAATCCATTAAGTACATTACTACTTGTATTAGTGTAACTTTTTGATTAAAATTAAAATAATATTTATTATAGTACTTGTAAATACAAAAATACATTCTATATTTTTTTTAAATTAAATTCTTACAATGAATTTAACGGATCAGGATTCTTTTCATGACTTTCATGTTTCGTACTTTTACATTTTCGTTTAAGTGAATTATTTTTTACTTAAGCAAAAATACAAAAGTAGCGGCATATAAAAGTCATGTTCGTGAAAAAAAAAAAAAAAAGAATCTTATCCGAATTTAACAATTATCAAACGTTTTAAATGATGTGATTTGAATCACTTACACTGTATGATTGATTAACGAGTCACATAGTATCCAAACATAAAGGTCGTGAATCCGTAAAAGATGTTATTTTGTAAATCGATGGAGGTTGACTACTCAGATTGTTTGTTTTTCAAATTAACCAATTAAGTGTTTGTAAATTACTATTTTTTATCTTTTTTATAAAAAATAAAATAGAGTATTTTTTTAATCTTTATTATAAAAAATAAATGATAAATTCAAGATATTTAATTATTAAATTTTATTTATATATTTTTTTATTAATATCATCAAATATATAAATTCCTAACTATATTATTTAATATCATAAATATTTTTAAAATAAAATTTATATTTATAAAAAGTATAATTGATTTAATTATTTATTTATTTATTTAATCTTTTATTTCTTATAAAAAATAAAAACAGTATAAAATTATAAATTAAATTATTTATATGCCATGAGAGTTGTGATAGATTTGAATTTTTTTATATTGACTAGTTCTGATGTGATTGTATAAAATTATTTATACGCAAATGAGAGTCGTGATATATTTGAATTCTCTTATATTATTAATTGACTAGTTCTGATGTGACTGTATTAAAATGAGAAAAAACACTTTTTTTAAATTAAATTTAATAATTATTAGAAGAATTTATAATCAGTTATAGTAAATTTTATTTGATAAAAAACTATATTTTTCTTTTTTTAATACGACTAGATTACAACCGTTAACATCTTAACAATCTAAATCATATATAAAAACATCATTAACAAGAATAATGATAATATTTACATAATAACAAATTAAACAGTCAAATCAAATAACATAAAAGAATTTATAAAAAAATTATAATAATTAAAATAACAAAATAAAAAATAAGTATGGATTATTTATCGTATAAACACTTTTAATGTAAGAGATAAAAATTACCAAATCAAATAGACTAAAGAAATAATTTTATTATAATTAATAAAAGTATATAAAAATTACATATATAAGCACACAAATCATTTTTTAATCAATCAATCAACTCTATTAACAAAACTTATAATATTGATAATTAAGAAGATGAAAATATGCAAAAAACAAATTTATTATATAAATATTATTAATCATATCTTGTATGTTATTTTAACAATCTAACTATTTAAAATAAAAAATTACTCTTAGCAAAAATAAAAAAAATTACACATCATGAATCGTCGTCTCTCTTAAATTAACTTTAACAACGTGCTTATCTTCTGACATAATATAAAAGTATAATGCTGGATAATACTAATTAAAAAATATATTAAAAATCACAGTTGATATATATATATATATATATTTAATACAAATGTGTTTAACTTTTTTTAAAATATATTTAATTTTTTCTTTCTATATATAGGTTTTGAATTTTCCTTAAACTCTTTCTAATAATATATATTTTGTCTATTAAAAAAAATTTACAAAAGTTAAATTATTTTTTTAAAAAAATAATAAATCTAAAATAACTTTATTCATCTGGCCCATTGCATGTCATGTAACTCGCAAAAGTTGAATTATTCTCTAAAAAGTATAATAAATATGAAATGACTTTATTCATCTGGTTCGTTGCATACGCCAATGGACTTTATCTAGCTCAATATTTATGTATATTTTCACTGATTGAACCTTTTCACTGCAGAATTGTTATGCAGCTTACGATGGAATCCAATTGCCACGCACTATGAAAATGTTGATGAACAAGTTATTATATATAATAGTTTTTAAAGATCAGATGCGGTATCCTTTCCACACCTCAATTTGAAGATACGATTTATCTTTTTGAGCAGTTGAGCAGAAAAAGAAGATAGACACTCATTGTGCCCGAAACACGTTGGCACGTATATAACCATGCATGTTTTAACCATTAAATTAGTCATTCAATCACAATTTATTTATTGTTCAAATTTCAATTAAACCAGTACTATTTTTGCTACTTTTTATAAGTTATTTTAGCGAATAACATCAAATTGAAAATCCTAGAAGTCTAGGACCCGATCAAGAAATTAAAATTGCAGGTAAATTACGAATGATCATAAGTATATATATATATATACCTAATTTTGTTTTAAATTTTAGCGAATATGTTAATAGCATTACAATTATTGTACAATTATTGGTGTATTGCATGTGCAATAATCACCGAGGAATTAATGGAACACAAATAGTACAGGGAATCTTTCATACATATATATATATATATATATATATATATATATATATATATATATTGCTATTCAGCTGAGTAATATGTGCAATAAACAGGTGTAGGTAACTAAGCTTTTTTGGCAAATTAGAGCCGGTAGGACTTGTATTGTCGGTGTAATAAATTAAGTTAGATATCTGTCATTAGTGATTATCGTTTTGGTCGTCATCTTTCACTAACTATAATCCATTTAAACGTTTCATTTCCTCCCCTCTATTTAGCTTCTCACTAAGCTAATTACTCAATCCAACTACTATATATATTCGACAGTCCTTGTAAAAAAGATAGGCTAGCTAGTACTAGAAGATTAATGGAATCGGGAGTTGAAGACATTGTGATTGTGGGAGCTGGAATTGCAGGCCTCACAACATCCTTAGGACTTCACAGGTACCTATTGCTTCTCTCTCTCTCTCACTCTTTTGCCCTAAAATAGTTATTATATTCGCATTAAACGTGCATGTAGTGGTATTAGTTCAGATATATATGCTTTATAGTATAAGTTTGCACTTTTTTTACTTAGCTTTTATAATCAATAGTATAAAAAATACTACAACAAACTACATAGATGATATATATTAATGTTTTACTATATTTTTTTATATATATATCCTTGAATTCTAAAGGAGATGTTGTATGTGTTTCTATAATAAGATCATATCATCTTTATGTTTGGTCTTATATTTGTGCTTTCTTGTTCTCACTATTCTTTCAAATGTAGAAGACTGCATGCAGTAGCAATACATGTGTTTTTGTAATTCTATTTTAAGCTAAGAAATTGACAGTGGTATATATATACATGCTTGCAGGTTGGGAATCCGAAGTTTGGTGTTAGAAGCTTCAGATACTTTAAGGATCACTGGGTTTGCTTTAACAACGTGGACAAATGCTTGGAAAGCCTTGGATGCTGTTGGTGTTGGAGACCTTCTTCGTGAGCAACATGTGCAGCTAAATGAGTAAATTACTATATAAATATATAATTAATTTGTGGCAATTGAGTTGTTTGAAATTTCAAGTTTAGTAAATAGTAACGATGAAGCACTTTATCTAAAAGAAGAAGCTCAAATTTGGCAAAAAAGTACGTCAACGACAGGGAAATATGATAAGGTAGCACACGGATAGAAGAATATGATAATAATTTTAAAAATTATTAGACGCATTGCATCTATTATATGACTTTAATATAAAATTAGTGTAATATTTAAAACATAAATAAAATAAAAAATAATTATTATTATAATATATGATAAAAATGTTATAATTTATTTAATTGTTGTAATATTTTGATTATATATTAGTATAATTAAAAGTTTTAAAACTTATGATATATAGTTAAAATATTTAAAATATCAGTGAAATGTCCTACGCGAATACATATTTCACACGGATCGAATACAGCTACACACAATATTTATTTTAAAGTGTATATATATATATATATATATATTATAACTGTTTTCTTAAAATATTATTATTTTTATTCAAGCAGGATTCATTATTGATGGATTTACAGAAAGCCCATAAGAAACTGTACAGAAAAATAGAGTCAAATGTTGCATGATGCAGATTCGCATATTCTCTTTACATGATTCTTAAATTTATATTAAGTTGTTTGAAAGGAAAATTATTCTATCAATTCATTGCCTATCATTCGTAAGAGGCGAATTAGATTTTTTAGGTTGTTTGCCATTATTTTTTATGAGTTTTATTTAATACACAATAATTAGGAAGCATATAAAAAAAAATCAATACTTAATATTCAAAATATTGATAAGTCTCAACTTTTTAGTTAGTTATATTATTGAAAAAATAAAATCTAAAATTATTTTTTTATAAAATTATAAGGATTGAAAATATAGTTAAGTTTCTTGTGTGGAAGAAAGTAAACAAATAAATAAAAAAGTTATAATATCTGAGAGTTTTTAGCATTAACTTAAAGAAATAATATAAATTTAAAGTAATTTTAAATTTAATAGTGATTTGTTAGTCTTTTCTTAATTACCTTTTTTTTATAAAAATAGTAAAAATGTAAATAAAAAATATATAATGAAAGAAAAATAAATAAAATTGTAATTGTTTTACACGAGAAAAAGATGAACGGTAAAATTTTATTTCTTCTTATTTGATTGCATACAAAAATAAGAAAATAAATTTTTTATCAAATAACTTAAAAATCCCAAGTAAAATATATTAATAAATTTATATGTTAATTTTTTAACTATATTATTGTAATAATTGTAAATTTATGCTCTTAATTAAAAAATTATGTAAAACATTTCTTTAAAAAATTAAGTTTACCCTAGAATATCTTCTTTTGCTTTCATTTTCCAGTTAAACACACACACACACACACACTTGTAAAGTAACTCAAACCTCTCTTAATTAACGCTTAGAATTATTGTGCCTCAACTAGGATCCTTTGTTTATATTGCCGTTGTCTTCTTAAAATTCTCCAACTCCGGGATTTTGGTTCAGGAAATTAGGGCGTGATTCTGGTTCGATACATGGGTTGAAGGAAACATAAACAAACACCAGAAAAAAAGATAACATGTGATGTGAAGAACAAAAAATCGATGAACGGTTTAGCCTACCTAATTCTTGAGACCAGTTGACGGCTAATGATTTAACACTTATTTAATGGAAAGATTTATTGAAATAATAACAATTTACAAATTGATTAAAATGAATTTAAAGTTGATATAAATTATTTTTAGACAACAATGTTTAAGGTAGTAGTCTTGTATATATTTTTCCTATAACATCCCTCAATTTTTGTCACGTGGGTTAATTGTGATAGGTTTTTTCTTATAAGTAAATCCTCATCATCACATAATTTGAATATTAATTTACTCTCATAATCACCATTATAATGTATGGATAATCGAACTAAGCTAATTATTGGCTACAAAGTTGTTATAGATAAGTGTATGGAATGCAGGAATGTGACTACTTCTTTGATTACGGGGCAACAAACATCAAGCTTGTCTTTCAATGGCACAGGAAAACAGTAAGCACAGTGTATATAGATACCAATTTCTCATGATCTTGATTTTATTATGTTCTTAATTATAATCTTAACGTTGGTATTGTCATGCGATGCAGCGGAAACTGTGAAGTTCGTTGTGTTAGAAGACAGTTAATGTTGGAAGCTCTTGCCAAGGAGCTTCCAAGTGGCACCATAAGGTACTTGTCAAAGATTGTTGCTATTGAGGAATCTGAATCTGGCTTCTATAAGATACTCCATCTTGCTGATCGAACAACTATAAGAACCAAGGTAAAAACAACGTATCAGTTAATGGAATTAATCAAGTTTATATATATATATAAGAATGCACCTTAATTAATTTGATGCTTGCAACTGGGAAAGGTATTGATAGGGTGTGATGGAATAAACTCCACTGTGGCAAAGTGGCTAGGCTTCAATGAAACCTCTTTCACGGGGAGATATGTAATCAGGGGTTACACAAAGTTGGTGAACAATCATGGGCTTCAACTCAAATTCATGCACTACTTTGGGAAAGGGTTTCGATCTGGTGTAATTCCTTGTGATGAAAAAACCATTTACTGGTTTTTAACTTGGACTCCCACCAGCCAAGGTATACTATTTTTAGGAAGTGTTTCCTCTAAACAAATTTATTTGACTTAACAATTCTTTAGCTTTGTAGCTAAGGATTGAGGTAATTTAACACCCTAAAAGATTTTACTGAATAAAAGTTATTCAATTGCAAAGATTAGCATTCATTAATTCCCTATGCATATCAGTTTATGACATTTAAACGTATGGTTACCATTGCCACACATTAACTAGTTCACTTTGCTTATGTTGTAGACAAGGAGCTAGTAAAGAACCCAGCTAAAATGAAGCAACTTGTGTTGAGCAAGCTTGAGAAGATGCCAAGAGATGTCAAATCCTTTATTGAGAAAACAAAAGTAGAAGATATTTTAACATCTCCATTGAGATATAGAAATCAATGGGAGCTCATGTTGGGAAATATTAGTAAAGGCAACGTTTGTGTTGTTGGAGATGCATTTCACCCCATGGCCCCTGATCTTGGCCAAGGTGGATGTTGTGCTTTGGAGGATGGGGTTGTTCTTGCTAGGTGTGTAGCTGAGGCCTTCTCCCAAAAACCAAGCAAACATACCAAAGAGATGAGTGAAGAAGAAAATGTTAAGGAGCAATATAAAAAGATTGAGGTTGCCTTGGGGAAATATGCAAATCAGAGAAGATGGAGAAGTATTGATATTAGTATTACATCTTATGTTTTGGGTTTTGTTTTGCAAGGTGATTTTAAATTGGTTGCACATTTTAGGGACAAAGTTTTGCCTACATTCTTAGCCGAGTTGCTGTTGAAGAAGTCAGATTTTGATTGTGGAACACTTAACATCCCTAAGATGAAGCAATATTAATCATTTAAATTATTCTCTTGTCCTTGATAGCCCTTCTTTCAGTCATTACCCACCGTGGATATAGTGTTTTTAGGAATTTTAATGTACTACCATAGACAAGTATGAGGGATTAAGGCACCAATTGCACATTAATGTAAGGATACAAATTTTATTTTTTTGACTTTGTTGTTTAGTAGATTGCAAATAATAAGGGAATGAAGTCAGGGTGCAATCATAGTAATTTAATGCGATTAGACCTTCAAACTCTTAAGTAAAATATAAAAAACCCATATTCTCACTAAATCTAAGGTTAAGGTTAAAAGATACAAAAATTTACAAAGATCCAATGGTTAACGTGCCTTGTGCTTTTGGTACATAGTTTATTTGTCTCTTAGCTTTGATGGGTGATGAATGGAGAAGTTAGGAATGAAATTAAAATTATTTTTTAATTTTTTAAATATATATAAAATTTGAATTCTATATAATTTATACATTTAATCTTTTAAATATTTGTGATATGCCCGCATTAATTTTTTTAATCATACTAAAATTTTTCATATATTTTAAATAATTTGTTGTTAAAATTTTGTTTAAATATTAAAATTTTAAAACTGTTAAATACTTAAAATTTATTTTTTTAAAAATATTATTAGAGCTTGTTTGGTGCATGAAATTAGAATTAACATTTAAAATTTTAATTCTATCAGAATTAGATTTCTTCAAAATTATAATTTTATGTTTAATGTACTAAAAAAATTATAATATTAAATTAAAATTAAATTTTATAGTGTGATGTAACATCTAAATTTTTAAAAAATGATTTAATTTTGTACTAAAATTTTATTTAATAATTTTTTAAAATAATGTATTAGTTTAAAAATAAAAAATAATTATTAAATAAATTATTAAAAATAATAACTTAATATTTTTTTCAAAAATTATGACACAGTAATTTTTTTATACTTAATTTATTATTAAAATTTAATATTATGTTATAAACTATTTTTTTTTATAAATTAGATGAAAGCATACAAATGTTTACAAATACAATTTAATTCTCAAAATTAAAAATATAACTTTAATATAAGTGCCTCCGAGAACTTTCATTTTAAAATCATAAATTAAAAGAAATAGAAACATTTCAATATATTCTTCTGTTATAAGTATCCTGTAGTAAAAATATTTCAATAAATTCTTCTATTGTAAATATTATATAGTTTTCTTCACATAAAATATTACAAAGCTCAAACAAAACTAGTTTAGTAAGATATAATTAATTATAGAAATTTTCATTAATCTTATATAATTACTTTAAAATTATACTTTTTATTTTATCAATCTATTGCATTTCGCACTAATTTTTTTTTCTTTACTCATGAGCCTAATTTTAAGTCTAAATTAAAAAAAAAACATCTTAAAATAAAGACATTAATTAAAGTAAGAAATCAATTTTAAAAATCACGTTAACGTTTTTTAAAGATACGTGTTATTAAAATAAAAAATTGATATAATAAATTTTAAATAGTCGTTAGTATTTATCACATAAAATGAAAAGGTGCGAAATCTGAAATATTTGATCTAGTCTTCAAAACGAACGGTCATGATAGGGTTAGCAGATAGCTGGACATAGAAGCAGAAGCAAGAATGACGAAATTGCCCCTGCGTCTTTGCAACATATACTTGTTCCTCTGTGCAGAGTCGTTCGCATTCTCTTCCTCATCCTCCTCCTCATCCTCGTCGTCGTCGTCGTTGATACCCATACTTGTTCTTCTTTCTCGCAAGGTATGCTTCGAATTAGTTTTAGTTAAATTGATATCAATAAAAGTAATAATAATGTTTAACTTTTTTTAATACTGTTTATATATATATATATATATATGTGTATCTTAATCTACAGTGAAATAATACAGAAAATTGAGTAGCTGTTGGTTTTAAGTGGGCCTTGAATAGAAATTACAGTGTTTTTGTATTCTATTGGGCTTAAAAGAGGTGGGAGCTGACCTGGTCCTAAGTTATGAAAAGCCCATTATTTGACCAAAAAAATCCTCTTCAGAGTTTCCACATCGTTAATTGATTGATTTTTGCAGATATTCACCGAAACAAGCTTTTCTAAATTTCATTGCTGGAAGTTTAAAAGAGTTCTGATGGATTTTGATGAATATGAGTATTTAGAGTGGCTATATTTGGTCTAATATATTTCATGAAAAATAAGAACAACTCAATAAACAAAATAACAAACTAATAATAATATTGAAGGTTAAATATAAATGTAAATACTGAGTTTTTTTTTTGTCAATTAAATATTGAGTTCAATTTGGATTAGCAAGGCCCATTTCCGTTCTCAAAAGTTAAAAAGTTTTCGGTATAGAGAACACACGCAACTATGCCATACACATGAAAGTTTGAGGTTGTATTGTCTCTTCCTTTTCTCTTTCCGCCAAGAAAACACCAACCTCAGTTACAACTAATCTATCCGTTTGATTCGTTGAGGTTATGGCGTTTTGGCACAGAATTGTAGAGCCTAAGCTGAGAACTCTGTGCACACAATTCCATAGATTTTACATTCACCCTCCGCATGCTTCTTCCATCAATTCCGCACCCAAACCCTGCACTTTGGTCACCCCACATCTGCATTCGGTTTTTCGTGGCAAACCCACTAATCTTTTTAATAGCGTGAGGTTTTTTGCAGCTCCCGTTCAGGTAATTTGTCAAACTTTTATTGGTTGAGACTATCAAGTTGTTCTTTGCTTTGAAATTGGATATGGGTTGCTTTGTGATTTTTGAATTGTGCTCAAGAATGGGTCTTTTTCTCAGATGGGCACTTTTTTTGTTGTGGGTTTTGTATTTGGTAGCATAGATAAGGGTATAGTGTTGTGGGGTTGTCCTTGATGGTTATAATGGTGCTTCTTGAATTTGGTGATACTTTGTGGGATTTTAGTTTCAGGCAAAGACCAAAACGGAGGATAACTGCACCAGCGGGTATCGGTTGAATGACCAGATCAAAGCTCCATATGTTAGGCTTGTGATTGATGATGGTAAATTGTGACACATTTTAATTTTGGCTGGTTTAGTTCCTTAGTTGTGCAATGTTTTAATCCTTATTGGTGGCATTGCTTATGTCTGTTTCTCTTAAGTGCTTGCTTTATGTGTTATTTACTGTATAAATGTGCCGGAAGTTTTGCTTGAACTTTGAATGTCTCATTAAATATATAATTCATGCAGGGCATTCAGTAGTATCAAGGTTTGAAGCTTTGGAACGTGCCAAGATGCTTAAACTTGATTTAGTTGAGGTAAATGAAATTTGTTAAGTCCTTTGCCTTGTTAAATAGGAATTCTTTTTTGAAGAGATACTTGCAAAATATAGATACTGAGTTGAAGTAGATTATAAGACATAGTTGCAAGTATATTCTTCATTTACTGAAGGATTTATTTATTTTATTTTAATGCATTATGATGGGTCTGAACTTTAATCCTTCTATATTCTATCCTTAAGTTGGGGCAAAAACAAACAAGTGTGTGTTTAACATTATGTAGTGATCGCTTTCATCATCACAAGCAACATATCCTAATATTTGGAATATTTTGTGACTAGGGGTAACCTATGTCTACCCATGTATCATATTTGTCAAACTGTATAGCATTAAAATTTGTTTAGGAATGTGTGTGAAGAGGGTTGGGTTAAGCACATAAGGATACTTCCCAGATCTTGTGGCATTTATTATACGAGTACTTGATCATGTTACAGGTTCAGAAGAGTGCTAATCCACCTGTTTGTAAAATTATGGACTTCCACAAGGAAACGTATAAGCGGCAAGAAAGGGAAAAGGAGCGTGCTAAAACCAAGGTACCTTGTTGTGTGGATTAGTGTGATTGTTTCCAAGTTGCTTGTGAAATTTCATTAATTGGTTTTGGCTGAAATTAATGGTATAACTTTCTCTTCCACTCATTTTTATTTGATAATTGATAGTGATGTGTTTTAACACATGAATCTTTATTAGCAAAGCACTGGGAATGTGCGCATATTCTTTGCCTATCAGAATACATGAGCCATATTGTATGCTAAAAGTGTTGGCAACATGATAAGATATGATTAGATAGAAGTAAGATAGAATTTTAATGAGGGGATTACAAGTATGAAGTGGCTAAATCGCCACATAATTTACAAATTACAAGTTCATATTGCATACTTATTTTTCATCTTTTTAAGTCCAGATCAACTTGCTAAGAATGACTTTGACCTTGGACAGTTGAATGTTTTTATTGAGTAAGCTATTGTGCTCTGGCACAGAACAAAATTAATATGCTTAGTGAAATTTTCATGCTCTCTTCTCATTGTTCCAAATAATAATTACGGTGCAGCAAGCATTTTTATAGCAATGATGGTTTAAAAATGAAGCTGTTTGTAGAGTTAGTATGCTTAATCAAATGGCTAGGAACTATAAATGAAGCTATGCATTTTCAGTACTGAAACTACTACAAAACCCAATATTGTGTGTACTTGAAAAGTTAAAACCTTCAATTTACTAGCAGGTGCTTTGCATTTTAATTACTTATAGGCATTGTGTCACCCTTTTATAATCATTATTCTATTATGGAATATTTAGTGAATTGTCAAAGACAAATCTTTAATCTTTAGATGTGGTGTTGTTCTTAATCAGTTTTCTGACAAATGCAGGCCGACATGAAACTGCGAAAAGATTGTAAGGAAGTGCGATTTTCTGAAAAAACTGTGAGTTTTCTTTCTATGTATCTTTTTACTTTTCCACATCCCTAAATATTGTTAGCAAGCTTACTTTTTTCTTATCAGAATTATCTACTACAAATTAAGTCCAATAGCACCTAGTTTTTACTAGGTTTCCAATTGTGGGCTAGGCTGTGGTAGCCACGTTTTGCAGCTTTGGCTAGGCCTATATATGTTTTGGATAAACCTTTTGGCATTGGTGTTTCATATGCAAATGAATTAGGATGTACGTGTTATAAACTTAGTCTGCCTTCATGGTTTTTTGCTGTACATGAATATTGTTCACTTTCAGCTCCTTTGTACTTGCTTTCTATGACCCAGCCCCAGGCTTTTGGTGCTTGACTAGAACAAGTGGCCTGGTGAGGCAATTAACCAGTCAAGATTAGCAAGATTTATATTTATATGTCTATCTACACAAACACAGACACACATACACCTGTATATATGTCGCAAGTTGATGAGTTAGAAGGAAATAAAAGAGGTAGGAGGGTCAAGAGGTTCAAAGTGTCAACGCATTTTACAAAACCACTTTCAAACACTCTTGGACTTTGCCAGCACATAAATTCTGAATAGCGCATATCCAAAAGAAGACTTGAAGCCCAAGTTAAAGATTGAGACTACTAAAAAATATTGAAAGACTCAACAAAAAAAAAAGAGAATGTGGCCTTTAAAACTTGAGAAGTAGGACAAGTGCAGGCAAGGAATGGAAAGCACAATCTGTGGCCTCTGAGGTTCAAACTTGTAGTACAAGCTCAATTAGATTGACAACAAGACACATTGTCACAACTTGGTCAAGCCAGACTTAGGGAGTTTTGGAAGTCTTACGTTGATGGGCTAGAAACACTAAATAAGTGTATAAATTAAATAAGGGGGTCAAGAGTCCAAAGTGCCTTGGTATTTTTGGACAATTAGGCCAGTTAAGCTGAATGCTCACACTTCCCATTCTTGGACATGGCCCACACATAAATTCTAATATATGCTCTCAAAAATGGTTTCTGTGTTCTGAGTATCATATTTTATTTCCGAAACCTAGAAAAGGAAAATTTTATGAATTGAAATTTCTGTTGTTAATTTTTTTCAGGAAGCAAAAGATATGAAGATGAAAGCAGATATGGTTAAAAAGTTAATGGAGAAGGGTTATCGGGTGAAGGTACTTTCTTTCCATGTTTGGCATATGCCCTTTTTTGGTTTTGAATTAGATTTTTCCATCTACATTTTTGGGAAGCAGTCTTATAAATAATTGTATTTTCATCAATGTTAGAAACTCTGTTTTTCATTTGAAAGGTTAAGTATGCATCTGGTTTTAGAAAATGCTGAGTGCATTATGCAACCTCTCAATTTGGTTGTACTGGTGCAATTTTCACTTGAGAATCTCCAGGTGCAATGTAAAATGATTTATCTAAAATGACTAGCTTTTGTGGTGTGGTTCTCCCAATGTTCTTATCATTGTGTATCATCTATATTTCATTCATGGTGATTTCTTTTTCATCTATTTAAAACAGTGCAAGGTATCAGGCAAGGAAGATCAAGACTTGACAGGATTATTATGTCGTCTTCTTGCTCTGGTACGATGATTCCTACTTTATTCTGGGATTTTTCTTTCTGAACTATTTTTCAAGATTTTTTTTATCCTTTCTCCTATTTCTCTATATCCTTCCATTTTACATTCAAAAAGTTCTTTGCAGATAGAAGATGTCTGTATTGTGGAAAATGGACCACATATGGCAAAAAAAGATGCATATATGATTGTTAGACATGTTAAATATGGGCTATCTAAGAAAGGTGGGAGAAAATTGCAAGATGAAACGGCTGTTAAGGCTCACGATGGTAATATGGAAATATCTAGTGAGAGTAATGCAGAATCTGGGTTTGAATCGGAGGCGGAGGTGCTTTCTGATGATGCTTTCTCTGTATTTAGCAACAATACGAATGTGACCTCTCCTGATTATCAAACAAATGCTGCTCCTGAAGCAGCCTTTCTGTCAAGAAGTAATGATTCAATGTCTGAAAATAGGTATAGAAGAACTGAACATCATGGCCAGAATAAGGTCCAATCTAATACACAAGTTCCTTCTGCGGTGACTGAGAATAGGTATAGAAGAACTGATCATCATGGTGGGAATAAGGTCCAATCTAATGCACAAGTTCCTCCTGCTGTGACTGAGAATAGGTACAAAAGAGTAGAGTCAAGAAACAGATTTCAACAAACATCATCAAATAATACAGGTCGTCCGGGAATAAGAGATGCGGTCAGGCCAACACCCTCAAATTGGAATCATATGAGACATGTCCCAGTAAATGAAAATCTTAATCCCAAAATAGAAAATAACAAGCAAGCTTTTACTCCTGGATCAAGACACTCAATGCCTCACCATAATAATAACCCCAGGAATCCTAATGCTGCTAATACCCCAAGACCTGGTTATGGCTCTTTTAGTGCTCCAAATGAGGGTATCCCTAAGCATCCTAGTCCTCCCAATACACCAACATCTACTAGTTATGGCCTTTTTAGCTCTCCAAAAGGCCCTGAGACTCAAGGTGCAAAAGCTGGGATGCATAGGAACAGAGAAGGGAACTTTCAAGATTCTACTTGGCAACAGTTCAACCAGGAGTCTCAGTAATTTGAGAAAATAAGAGTCATCGGAGAAGGTGTATTAGCATCTCATGCATAGAATAGAAGAGGGGCGTGTCAAAGATGAGCTATATATGATGGCAAACATGTTACAATGAGACATTATCTTCTCTAGAGGCATGAAGCAATGGTTGACACGCTTACTTCACAAAGCTTGCAGCTGTTTTTACTATTTATTTACATTGGTTGATCTATGAAAAGCTTTGTTTATTTAGCTGAATTTTGGGGGGAATTTTGCATCATCTAATAATATTGGTGGTTCTAGCATGGAGGTGAACAATTTTGAATGCTTTTTTATTTATTTGTTTTATTTGACTGTGAAGGTGGAGATTTTTTTAACTACCCCACTGAAAATTTTGATATACTATGTATCTGTTTTGCCACTCCTTTATGGTTCTAGGCACAATCTGATTCTATTACTGTTTCATTTGTTCTGAATTTCCCAACTTTGGGTGGGATGGTAATAATAACAACAATTTTGATTATGTTATTTTATGTTTATAAGTTAGTTCAACTGACTTTACTAAATAATTTTAATTTAATATACTAGCTTCATAGCTATTGACTTTCATCTAACAACTATCAATTTTTAAAGATTAGTTTTTTAAACTTTAAACTATTTTATTAACTAATAGATTCCTTGAAGTGAAAGTAACTAATGTGAATTTATTCCACTTACATTTTCATCAAATATATGATTTTGGTTGGAATGAGAAATATTATCATTCCCTTTCAAATTATTCTCCCATGTAATGGGTAAAAAATAATTTTGATCCGTTCCTTTTCTTTTGTTTTCTTTTCACCCTATCGTTATTTTTGTTTCACTCCATTAACAACACGAATAAAATCTCAATACTATCTAAATAGGGATAAATAAAAAGTTTTTGGAGGGTAAAGAGGGTAGATAGCATAAAAGGATATTTTTCTTTGTTGGGCTCCAAAAATGGTACTCCCAATACATTATCCATCAACTACTTTAAAAATTTGGTATAATTTTGATTTGTATATACTTTAAATTTTTTTATTTCAGAAAAGTTTAAAAAAGCTGCAATATGTTATTGTACAGTGAAAGAATACAGAAAATTGAGTGGTTATTGATTTTTAAGTGGGCCTTGATAGAAATAACAGTGTTTCTGTACTCTCTATTGGGCTTAAAAGAAGTGGGAGCTGACCTGGGCCTAAGTTTTCAAAAGCCCTTTTTGGACGGATCAAAATCCATCCACATTACACGTTAAAGACTATCAGTAGAAAATAATAATAATATTTATCAATATTAAAATAATAATAACAGTAATTTTTATAGTGTGAAGGAATCAAGGGAACGAGATAGAGAAAGCAGGTATTGTTTCCTGTTCCAGTTTAATCCATTTTTGCTGCTGCACTAGATACAAAAATAATAATTTTGCTGGTGATAGATATTTAGCTACTCTAGATTTTTGTTTCTTCACTTACTGTATCCATTGTGCATAAGGATTTTAAGTAGTAGTTTCTTTTCTGCTATATGTCATCTAAAGAATTAACCGTCAACCTTGAGATCCCTGCAGTGTGATATATAGTATTGTGCTTTAGCAGAGCATTGGATATGGATAAGATATAGAAATGCTGTTTACTTGAAAGCCACTTCTTTAATGACTAAAATTCTTTTTGTTTTCAGCATAGTCCTATATAATAGGTGGCTCTGCTTTCATGAAACTCCTCTTAGATTCTTCACCTTTGTCATATTTATTGTCAAAATGTGATTCCTCAATTAATCAATTTCTAGTCCGTGTGCTTGTAAGTTAAAAATGAGGTCTTAATCAAAATGCAGCCTAATGAAATCCAAGGGCATGGATGTATTAGAATTTTTATATTATGATATTGGAGGGCAGTTGCAAACTTCTTGTCTGGACATGAACAGTTCATTGGTAGGGAGATTATGTCTGATATCAGTCTGGGTGTTCTGTTATTCTACCTACACTTTCAAATATCTTGCAAAGTAGTAGATATTTTATTTAATAATTTAATTTTGCACTAAAATTTTATTTAATAATTTTTTTAAAATAATTTTTTAATTAAAAATACAAAATAATTATTAAATAAATTGTTAAAGATGATAACTTACTATTTTTTTTTCAAAAATCATGATGCAAAAAATTTATTTTCTATATTTAATTTATTATTAAAATTTAATATTATGTTATGAATTATCTTTCTTATAAATTAGATAAAAGCATACAAATATTTACAAATCTAATTTAATTCTCAAAATTAAAAATATAACTTGAATATAAGTACCTCTGAAAACTCTCATTTTGAAACCATAAGTTAAAATAAATAGAAACATTTCAACATATTTTTCTGTTATAAGTATTATATAGTTTTCCTCACGTAAAATGTTACAAAACTCAAACAAAACTAGTTTAGTAAGACGTAGTTGATTATAGCAATTTTCATTAATCTTATGATATAATTGTCTCAAAAGTATACTTTTTACTTTATCAATCTATTGCATTTCACTAATTTTTTCTTTTTTATTATTCTTGTATACTCAATATTTCTTGAATTAATTTCTAATATTTTATCTAACATCTTACAATTTAATATAGTTTGCAATAAGTGCATAATAACAGTACACACATTAACATAAACATATTAAACATGTAACAAATGTAAGAAAGAAGAAAGAAAAAAGAAGATTTAAAAGAAGAATAGGAAATAAGTGTAAAAAAGGAAAAAGAAAGAATACTATAAAAGAATAATAGGAAGGACAAGATAATGAATAATAGAGAAAAATCACTTTTATTAATAATTAATATAAAACAAGAAAAAAGATAATAGAAAAAAAATAAGAGAACATAAAAAAAAGAAATGATATTAATAATTAATGTAAAAGTAAATTTAAAAGGAGTAGATAATGTAAAAAACATGAGAACATAAGAAGAAGAAGAAATATGCATAAGTAAACAAAGAATAAATAAAAAGAGAGAAAAAGAAAACACTAGGAGAAAAAAGTATTTAAAGAAAAACAGGAATCACGAAAACAAAAAGACATAATACTTGAGAAAGTATTTATGAATTATGATATTAATAATTCAAATTGTAAGGTGTAAGTTAATAATTGAAGTGAGTCAATTTTAGTTATCTTACAATTTCATAGAATTAATTTATGAAATTATAATCTCAATTCTAAATAGACATCTAAACATAATAATTAAAATTCTAAAATTCAATTCCAATTTTAAAGTTTAATTACATACTAAAATTTGTACATCAAACAAGTATTTAGAATAACCTAAGAAAATAAATAAAAATTAGTTTTAAAATTTTCAAAAAATCTTTTATAAAAATATTGAAATGAAAATTTAATAAAAACTTAATCAAATAAATTAATGTCACATATTCACAAGAAAAAAAAATTGCAATTGGGACAAAAACAAAATCGAGTCCAACTAACGAAATCCTACGCATGACTTCACCTAGACCAATTTATACCTTACGTTACCCATTAAAATTAGGCACTATCTTGGGTTGAAAGACTACTTTTGAAAAAATTATCGACAATCTAAAACTTGCATGACCCAAAATAGCATTTTCATTACTTTGCGTTGGAACTAAACATGTTGTGTCTTTATTTTTATTTTATTTTATTTTCTTTGACAAGTGTTATATGTCTTTATTAGGAAGAAAGAAATCTACCAATATTAGTTCGTTATTTTTCCTACTCATTAGCCTAATTTCAGGCCTAAATGAAAAAAAAAAAACTATCTTAAAATGAAGACATTAATTAAAGTAAGAAGCCAATTTTAAAACCTCTCTTCAAAGAAAATAAAATAAAAATCACGTTAACGTTTTTTAAAGATACGTGTTATTAAAATAAAAAATTGATATAATAAATTTTAAATAGTCGTTAGTATTTATCACATAAAATGAAAAGGTGCGAAATCTGAAATATTTGATCTAGTCTTCAAAACGAACGGTCATGATAGGGTTAGCAGATAGCTGGACATAGAAGCAGAAGCAAGAATGACGAAATTGCCCCTGCGTCTTTGCAACATATACTTGTTCCTCTGTGCAGAGTCGTTCGCATTCTCTTCCTCATCCTCCTCCTCATCCTCGTCGTCGTCGTCGTTGATACCCATACTTGTTCTTCTTTCTCGCAAGGTATGCTTCGAATCTCGCTCTCATGTTGCTGGAGCTATGGATTTTCTTTTTCTTTCTTGATTTTTCTATTTATATCGGTCTCTGTTTATTTGTGTTCAAATTTGTTTTCTGAAATGATTAACCTATCGAGGTGACGGTGCAACCTGAAGAACCAGCTCATTCGTTTGCTTCTTGTTTTTTTTTTTTTTCTCGTTTTCGATCAACCTGTTTGCTTGCTTTTTGTTTTAGTTCATTTTAATGTGTTTTGCGGTTAATTTTGATTTTGGATAATGTTATTTACGATGCTGTCTGATTGAACTGTAATGGTTTATTGATGATGCCGTGTGCGTGCGAATTTCATTTTGCAAACTGGATTGCGATTGGTGTCAGAACTAAGTTTTTGTTTGATTCGGCGGTGTGATTTCAGATCCACAATGGGCGTGCGTTTTGTTTGTTGATGTGTAGATGAGAGTCGGTGGCAATCTCGCTTAGTTTATTTTCTCCTTTTTATTTTGGCATCATCTTACGTTTTGTTTCTTAGCATTGAAAGTTATTTTGAAATCAATTTGTTCAAATGTGTTTTAAGTAACTACAAGGGATTGGTCGAGTGAAGCAGGAAAAGGTCTTGCATTTGATAGGTGGCACCTTCGAACCCCAACTTGTCTCCTTGGAGTGAGGTAAATGTAAGTGCTCTTTGAGCCTAGTGATTTTTCCTTCCTTGGAATGCGGTGCCATCTTTTCCTAAATTTTATGTACCAAATAAATGTGTTTTAAGTATTTCCATTTATTGTAATTAGCTAAAGGATAGATTTTGCCTCATGTTTAGCGAGTTAATCATAAAGCTATGGATGAGATGATACTATTTTTTTTTTTTGGGCATTATTTGCCTTTGATATGGTTATTTATTGTTTCAATTGATGAATTTAAGGTGAGTAACAACATTAGAATGACAATCTCATGACATTGATATATTATGATTTTAGATGGAGGTTCAACGACATGCACGGTCTGAAGACAACGATCCTGCTGAAAATGCTTGTGCTAGTAGTTCTTTGAATCAAGGTGATCTTGTGAGTGTGTCTGCTAACAGCAATCCAAGTGCAAATAGTGAAAGCAATGAAGTTAATGAACCGGGTGGCATTTCTTATAAGAAAAGTAATAACCCACATATCTATAGACAGGATGTTGTGAAAAACAGTATCAGTGGCATGATTGGAATTGTGACAGAAGTTGCTGGTGATACAGACTCAGATTCAGATAGCAGCATCACTGATGATGAGAACGATAGTGAGAATGAGGATGGTGATGCTGAAGGTGAGGAAGGCGATGAAAGTAATGATGCTAGCAAAAATTCTGAAAGT